AAAAAGAGCTATTGGTTGTGTTTATGTTTAAGACAGATGGAAAACTTTATTAATGATTACATAGTGAAATAGCGCTTCAAGAATAATTTGAAAAACGGTATTTGAATCAATCCATCTCTTCCATCTCATCGGTTCAAATGAACTGCAGTTAAAACGTAATGTAGATTTCTTGTCTTTGGGAGCGATTTAAAATAGAACCAGCCTGTTACGGGGGCTCCCCTGGCGCTGCTCTCCGCTGGCATGAGCTGGGTTAGGTGTCTGGTCCTCGTGTCCCTGCGTGCGTGGAGCTGAGGTGACGGCGTGCTCCTTGGAGCTGGCTTTGAGAGGGACGGGAATCCATTTTCCTTGAAAGGGATGCGGCAGGGTGGGGATGGCGTGGCGAGAGTGCGACGGTGAGCAAGGGGAGCTGGGCCAGGAGGGGGTTAAACCAGGGAAGTTACCAGTTGTGGTGCTGCTGGCTTGAAAAGCTGAGGGGGTTTCAGAACCAAGATAAAGAGTTGTGTGTAAAACTACGTTTAATTAAGATAGGTAGGTTAAAATGTTGACAAAATTTGAGAGTTGTTTTAATTATGAGAAACTTTTCTGTCCTAGGAAGGACAGCCCAGTGATAAGGACTTTCTTCAGTCTGTTTTCTTTGACAGGCACTTGGAGAGTCCCCCGGCGGTTCGGTGCTGCGGTAGTGCTTTGGGAGCATGGCCGAAGCAGGGCTCCCCGTCTCGGCGTGGAATGCAGCTTGTGACGGTAAGTGTGAGGTCTGACATGGTCACCTGCCGTCCGGGCTGCCGTGGGCGTCGGTACGGAGGCGCTCGCCCTCCGCTTCTGCTGACCAGGCTTAGCGCTGCAGGCAGGAGCCTGGGTACGGGGGTGAGGGAGTGCAGCGTTCTGTGGTGAGGCAGCTTTGGGGGTAGCCAGGTGGTGGTCAAAACTTTTCTGCAAGATAAAAATTAATTTGCTTTTACTGTTTGGAAGCTGTATTTAAAATATAAAAAATATTTAAAATAAACACATTGTTTCAACAAAATGAAAGCTTCAGTTTTCTTTCTGTTAACATGTCGAATGTTCAATAGAACGATGAGAACTGGTTAGAACTGTCTGTTAGCGCTGTTTTGTGGTCTTTTTGTATAATCTTTATTAATATTTGTTACGTTGCATGAAGGGTGTGCCTATATTGCACATGCTTCTGAGTGAAGGTGAGTTACGTAGGCTGTGATGTATGCAGGTCAAAATGGTTGGTGTTCATAGCAGGGTGGTAGAAACCAGAAAGTACCTGCCTGTGTGGAAAGAAACAGACACTGTGAACTTCTCACGCTGCCCCTTCCTATACATTTTCAGTTCAAACTTTGCGTACTCGTTAGCTAATTCGGACATTTTCCCTCTGTTTGCAGTGGGATGCTTGTCTTTGCTTCCATGTTGGATTTTAACTGTGGGAGCTTGATACATCTCAGCAACTGCTGCATTTCCTCAGCGTTTGAGCTAGAACCCAAGTAAAGCAATGAGGAGATTTGTTTACTGCAAGGTGGTCCTAGCCACTTCTCTCATGTGGGTGCTTGTGGACGTCTTCTTGCTTTTATACTTCAGTGAATGTAATAAATGTGATGACAAGAAAGAGAGGTCTCTGCTGCCTGCTCTGAGGGGTAAGTGCCAAGTCTAAGCTATCTTTGGAGGTCGTAGGTTTTTTTAAAGTATGTGGCCTCATATGTGTTTGTCTATTATACTTTCTAAATTACTTTTCCAATTCAAACAGACCAAATACCAGGATCTGAAGTACTTTGTTTCTGTAGTGCTGTAGTGGTTTCTGAATTACCATTACCTCAGTGTTTGACCTTTGCCATGATGAATCCAGAGTCTTGCGTGTTTTCTTGAGTGAAATTGGAATAAAATGTCTCCGGAAGAGAAATCCAAAGTAAACATGTTAAGAACCTTTCATCAGAAGTCGTTTGACCCACAAGAGCATTGATGCTTTATGATCCTGATTTCATTTGTGAAAGATACTTACTTTGTAAGCTTGCTTTTAAACTCTTAACTCTGGCTGAAGCAATCATTTTAAAAGATACTTAGATTCCCTCTACCATACGAGAACACTAGGATCAAGTCTCAAATGCGGATGGAGCAGAGATTCTCATCTCGCTCCAGATACTTTAGTGATGCAGTGTACTAAAGGGGAGTTGATGAAGGCTGAACCTTGACAGAAGGTACAAGTTTTTGAGTTCGTAATTGCTAATTTCCAGAGCAGTCATTCACAGGACAGATCATCTGCTTCTGTGCACCCAAAAGACACAAGTACTTGCAGTTTAGTACTTGCTGTGGACTTGAGTCACCTGTAGAAGCTGTAACGTTGACTACGAATGCAGTTAAGACTCTAAATCTGTGGGAAAGTCACAAGAAGAAGAGGGAGTAGAAATTTATGAAATATAGATGTTTGGTTTTCCTTGTAAATGTACACCCTGTTCTTAAGGAGTTTAGGTTCAGCATGTGGAAGAAGGAAGATGCTTTGAGTCCCTAATAGGATTGGAACAAGACGAATTAGAACTAGTGCAGCTGCTTTTGTAACGTGTTTACTGTTGACAGGAGTAGTGTCTGGTGCTGTTCCTCTCTCCATAAATACGTCTGTGTGTTGAAAACTATGGAGCCTCGGTTTTGTCCACAGGATGAGTCATTGTCATCCTTTTAAAAGCACTTGGGGGGTCACGGTTCATTGAGTCGATAACTTTGGAATAATTTGAACTGAACATACAATTTGGTGATGGGTTTGTCACATGGCAGTCCTTACTCAAAATGTTTTCGAAGACTTCACTTTGAGCTTCCAATCATATGAAGAGCTACATGGTATTAAAAGTAGTAAAAAAATTCAGTTATTTTTGCTGAACAAGAAGGATATTGGTTGTTGTAGTTTGGTTTTTTCCTTATGGAATTGAATTCTGTATTTTTATACAAATATTAGGCAGAAATGTGGCCTAAAATGGGTAAACCCCATTTTACCTATACTGTCAGCTGCAGAACAGTGATCATAGATTGTTTTTGAAGTATGCATTGGAATTTTCTCTAAGTTGATTACATTTTGTGAATTGTCTTTGGTTGCATTTTTCGCTATGTAATTGGATAATTTGTAAAGAAAAATATTAAATATTAGAGTGATAGCTTTGAACATTAAAAACTTTTAAGTTAAGCTAGGCTAAGAAAAAAAAAAAGAGAAGCATGAACACTTGTCCCTGCCACCGCCATTCAAATGGGAATGAAAATGTCTGGAACTTGCAAGTATGAATTCACCTTTTTGACACTTCTTGTTTTTAAATCCACACAACACTATGCAATACTTGACTTCTTTTATTCTGTTGCATTTGACTACTTGAAATGACTTCTTTTTTTTTTATGTTCAACTTGCTGAATACTACATACTGTGCCTGTTAGAACGAGGTGAGGTTTCTGCACAGAAATTCTAAAAGCAACATTGCTGCTTCTCGCTCTCAGTTTTCATAGATGTTGTGTTTAATATATCACATTACTTCAACTTTAAAGCCTGTTAAAAGAAATAATGAGTCTCTTACTGTACTATGCATATTTGACATGATCCTGGGAGAATATTTGATTATAATAGTTTTTATAAGGTTATGAAATATGAAAATATATGTAATATTTTGGGACTCGAGTATTTTTATTGGCAATAGATTGCATGTCTAGTGAAGTTCTAGAAGGCTTCTGCTGCAAAGGAACAAAATGAGAAAAAGCAGAGTTAAATCTACTTTATCTTTAAGTTTTTGATGGGTTGTTTAAAAGCGGGGAGGGGAAAAAAAAAAGCCAATACTGTGGAATTTAGAAACTTATCCTTCACTGATACCTCTACTCTGCTTGGTGACATAGGGACTTCAGTTGTAACAATTCCAGTAAACAAGAGTAACTGAACATTCTCATTTAAAAGATTTTGGGTTTAGGAAAGCGTTGTTTAGTAGATGGGGGCTGTTAATTCACGAAACAACGACTCACGGAAATAATGGCAGCAAACCCACTTTTCCTCCTTGGCGGATCTAATGGGAGGTTTGGTACCTCAGCATGTAGCTTGTGGGGTTTTGTGTTTGTGTACCCACAGACCTGAAATGCTCTACAGACTCTTCCAAGTAAGTGTGCGTGTTCTTGGATGAAACTTATATTCTGGTCCACTAAGTTCAAAGCTAGTTTGTCTGACTTCTGGGTTTTTTCCAATGTCCTAAATATTTCTTGTTATTTTAGACAGTCATATGTATTGCCGTGTCAGTGAGCAGATTTGAGAATAAAAAGAATCCATTTTTCACTTTTTTATGGGGATTTAGGTGAATGTCTTCATTTATTTCTGCTGAAACTATGTGTGTTCTAGTGGAGTAATTACAAATGTTTTTTTTAAACTTCTGTAGCTTGCAAGCCAGCAGACTACTAAAACCTCTGCACAGGGAGTGCCGCGAGCTATTAGGATGGAAATGAAATGTAGCGCTGCTTTTCTGCTGTAAAGTACCTGCATGGGTACCATCACCTTTGTCTTACTAATAGTGTATATGTTGGTTTCTGAATACCTCTAATTGAGCATGCAGATTGTCTGTAAACGTAAAAAGCAGCATAATTACAGTATTTCCACAAGGATATTAAGAGATACAAGGATCAATATACTAATAGAAATTTAAATTGGACGTGGTGATCCAGCATTTGAAGTCACTTAATCCGTCACCCTTGTTGTTAATTACGAAGATTCTGCTTAGGTAGAAGGGTGTGTTTAAAGGAGAAAGAGGTAAACTTTCCATGCCTTTTTCAGTCGTAATTATTGCATTTTAAATGACTCATGAAGAGAAGTTTACAGTAGATGTTGAACCGTAAGCAGTGACAGTCCAGACTGGAACACAGCTGTCAGAAATCCCCTCTGATGTCTCGCAGTACGTCTCTTAAGTTGTACGAGTGACAAGTATAAAAGCTGAGTGTTATAAAAATGAGCTGTCGCGGAGCTGGGTTAGTGGTATTGCTTAACAACTTGCAAGTGTTATCCTATTCAACCCTGGGCTGGCTTTCAGTCAAGTCATCTTTACTTGCATCTATTTTTGTGCCGCTGTTGAAAGAAACAACATTTCTTTCTTACACTTACTTCCTACTTGGGAAGAAAATGAATATTGGGCGGCCTTTCGGCAGTCTCTGTTGGTCAGTGGTGTGTGCAGCACCTGGGAAAATAGCCTGGCAGGAGGTCAGCAGTTCTGCTTCCCCTTCGTGTTGAGGGTTGGGTTATGGCACTGCTGCTGTCTCTGAATGTTTTAGTGTAGGTGTTTGAACGTACCTTGGCGTGCCTGACGCAGTGTTGTTTGGGCAGCATTGTCTGAGGAGGAGTAAGTCCCCAGGACATGCATCAGACAGACTGTGGGGAAGCTCTTTCAAGAGCAATCAATAACAGAAGCAGGGCTGCAGTCCCTTCCCATTCCTGGAGGCTCCTCGCACCTTATAGCAAGCTGCTCAAAAACATAGAGGTTTCCCTGGAAGCTCAGGTTGTCCCTTGAATTTCAGGAAGCTTAGAGTAGATCTGACCATGCCTAAGCCACTTCAGAAGAGCTGTAAGAGGTATAGGTTTTATGGAGAGCATCACATTAAGTAGAATGTGTCTGACTTCTCCTTAAATGGAAGGAAAATGGATGTTGTGTAGTGGGAGAGGGGACAGGGGAGCACCTAGCAGCGCTTCTGATAGGAGAGAGCAGTCTGGTCCTCCTCTCCTTTCCTTCCTCTCTGTATGGCGCTTCCCGCAAAATCAGGAGCCAGAGCTGACTCACAGATTTAGGACATGGAGAGCCAAAGTTCACCAGCCAGCAGTTTGCTTAGACAGGGCTTTGAAGGGAAGAAACCAGTTGGCAAGTCCCAAAAAAGCCAGGCATCCGTGAAGCTTACCCGGTGGGGTGTGCGCGCGGGGACTCCAGGAGCGTGGCTCTGATGGGAGGTGAAGCGTGGGCATCGCTTAGTTTGTGAGCGGTGGCGATGTGTTGGATTGCCTCTTGAAGGACCCTTGCTGCGACCTGAGCCGGTTGTGGATTCAGCATCACACGGGAGAAGGTCGTGCTTGGTTTGTCGGGTGTTCCGGCTCCTCTTGGGCTGTTCTGCTCCGTGTTGGTGCAGCGTGTGGTTCCTGTTCGACTTCTGGCTGAGAACTGTACAACTCGGTCACGTTCGGTGCTGGTATTAATGACAGTTGCTCCAAATATTTCTCAAGGACAGGTCTGTTTCTTTCAGAAAAGCTGGTTTTCAGGGTCGGTCTGTGTGGGCCTGTGTCTGGTCTTGTTTGGAGTGCAGGGGAGTGGATGGGCGAAGTGACAGGTAAGTCATTTCCCATTCTCTGCCCCGGGAAGAGATCGCAAAGGCAGTCTTTCTCATGTTGTGAACTAATCATCGTCAATCTGATCGTCCCAGCAGATGGTTCTTCTGAAACGTACAATACTCGCAACTGGCAGGACAGGATGCTTTCAGGCCTCCTTGAAGATACAGTCTTATTTTCATTGAAAGCAGAAGTCTCTTTTTTTTTTTTAATGCACAAACTAGAAGTCTGTTTACTCAGCACAATGAGCTTACAATGAAGGAAGTGTTTACAGTGTACTGGAATGGTATTAAATTCCAAGCTGTGGGATTAAAAGGGATCTTATGA